TAAAAAAAATATTATTTTATTCCAAAAAAGCATAAACTTAAAATATTACATCTTAATATTATTTTTTCATTATCCTAAGCACTTTCATTATTTTTTTTATTAATTTGAGAAGGGTCTTTTTGTAGGTATAAGGAGCAAGAACGTGTGATGAATTGTGTGAATGTTACAGTGTGAGGATAATGAATGGACCAAAATTTGTATTGAAACAAAGACACAAACAAAGCATAAGATCTTTTATCGAGCTGATTATTAAACTTTGTATGTGGGATGTAGATACAACTTGATGTTGAGAGGTTTAAGAAGTGAAATCAAATGATAATTAACCTTTTATGGTCAAATGCTTATGCTTGATTGTAACAAGTCTCATTTGGTATATAAGATGAGATCTTTTTAGTTTTATTCATTTCTTTTACATGAAAACATTATTTAACTGTCTAAGACATTATTTTTTTTATTCATACCAAGAAATATTTTTATCACTCTACTTAGTCAAGAAAACTTAGTAAAATTTACAAAAGATCAAACATTTCACAAATTCAAAAACTAACATAGAAGATACTAAACCACATAACTTGATATTCTTGAAGTTACTTAGTATTTTTAAAGTTAAAAAACATATCTTGATACTTATCACTCTTGAAAAAATACAATTTTTACAACAGTTAACGTAGAGATTTCCCGAGAAGTCTTCTAGACGACTTCCCGAGAAGTCTTTCTAAATGACTTCGTATGAAGTCTTCTATTATTAGCTAGATATATTAACATGAAGGTTGGTAACCTCATAAATATCACTATTTAAGTTATAAATTTCATACAGTAACTCTAATATCGACTAGTATTCACGAATTAATGTGAAAATGTTAAAAAATCTTTCTAGTTTTAGAGAAAATGAAATTTTATTAAACATTGACGCAGATGACTTCCACGAAGGTCGTTTGGACGAATTCATAGAAGTCGTTCATTTTGGTTAGTTTGTAATTGATTTTTAACGTCCAAGATAAGCAAGGTTTGACCAGAATATCGGAATAAAATCAAGGACGACTTACATATAAGTCGTCGGATGGACGACTTACGTGTAAGTCGTGTAGTAAAAATAGATTTTTTTGTTTAAAAACAAAATATTAATTCTTCAACTTTCTACTGGACGACATACACATAAGTCGTCCAGTAAAAATCAAATTTCTGACACATTCCGGTCAAATAAAAATCTAACCCATTTTTCCTAAACGACTTACCTGGAAGTTGTCCGGACGAACATATATGGAAAAAAATTTGATTTCCTAGTTTCAACCAGTGAGATAACTTGTTTAGCACACAGAAGATTTCTCCAAGCACCCAAAATCACAAACAAAAGTGACCCACCAAGAACCGTAAGCTTCAATGGCTCTATGAACCAGAAAAAAAAAATTAGAATCAAAATCTTGGTTTTTTTTTTATGAATATGGAGAAAACGTGAAATCGATGTGTAAATCGATTTGAGGTGCATTAAGAGCTTCAAATTGGTTGTTTATGGTGGTTGGTGTATTGATGGCAATAACAATCTTGTAAATACTTGAAGATGATGCGGTTGAGAGAGTAAAAAAAGCATTTTTGAAAAGAAAAAAATTAATGGCATTTTTGTAAATAATGTAAATTTGTGGGGTAAATAAGGAAAAAGAAAAATCCAAAAAATCATATGTTAATTTTATAGATGACTTTATGTTTTAGGTCAATTTTGGTAATAGCCGTATATATCGGTGTGAGATAGCAATCAATATTCATGTTTTTCCTCATTTGCACAATGAGACTGCATTTCTTTTAACCTCCTAAACTCACACATTTTTTAGACTTCTTTAACCATTATATATCTTTGTGAGATAGCAATCAATATTAATGTTTCTAATATTTCTAAAACAATGTATCAAATTATTAAAAATAAGAAAAATGATTGCCAGCTATTTGAAGTATCGAGCACTACATGGTTGACCAAGAAAAGTAAAAAAATGCACACTCAACTACACAAAGTATATTGTATGCATGCTAACATCAATGAATTTTATGTAGTTATGTATCTAACATCACAAGACTAATTATAATAATTATATTAATGAAAAAATAAAAATATAAAATATAAAAAATGATTTCAGATATGGAATTTTTTTTTATATCTTATATTTTATTATTATTAATATTTTTTTTATTTAAAACGTGTTCTACAACAATATTAAAAAATAATGTTCTTTTAGAAAACACTTTTAACTTCATTTTAAATTTATATTTTTAATGGTTTGTTAGCTTAGAATTTATTTTTATATATTATTTGTTATTTTAACCCTTGTTTTTATATATACATATATAACAATTATTATTTTAATAATAAAAAATTGAAAAATAAATTGAAAAATAAATTTTGAAAAACCTAAATTCGAAAAAAATCCAAAAAGAATTTATAAAAAAAAAATTGAATTTGAAAACGTATAGATAAAAACTATGAAAATATTATTTATTTAATAATTATTTATATTTATCTATTTATAAAATGAGGATATAAGAGTTTTTTTTGCATTTTTAACAAAATTTTATGCTTAATATATTTGAAAATTCTCATCTAAAAAGGTAAATATGAATAATGATACTAAAAGTGAGGTAAAAGTAAAATTTCCCCATTAGTTTTGTTTTGTGTTAGGTTAAATATTTTTTTAGATAAAAATAGGTTTTTGGATTTTAAATAGTTAAGTCATTTAAGCAGTATTTTTCACAACGTCTTTATAGCTTTATAAATGTCATTATAAACCTTTTTAATAAACTAAAATTTTCAGTAATTTATTAAAAACGTTTTTTTTTTAATTTCAAAACATCTCAAAAAATTAAGATATTTATGTTTAAATCCCCCCCAAAAATCATATATAAAAATAAATGCTAAACTAACAAACTAATAAATATATATAAAGGTAAAATAAAGTTGAAAGTATTTTCTAAAATAACATTAATTTTTAATATTATTGTATAACACTTTTTAAAATAAAAAGATATTCATAATAAAAATAAAAAATTATAAAATAAAAAGGTTTTCCATATCTTAAATATATTTATATTTATTATTTTTATTAATGTAATTAACCTTATGATGTAATTAATGTAATTAGCTTTGTGATGTTAGCTACATAACAACATAAAGTTTATGGATGTTGCCATTCATACTATATATTTCATATAGTTGAGTGTGTATTTTTATACTTTGCATGTTCAGCCATGTGATGGCATATATTTCAGGTAGATGATGATTATTTTTTCCTTAAAAATATGTATTTCTATTATAAATCTAAAAAAAAACTAAATACAATTAACAAATTTTTATTATTTAAATTTAAATATATTTATAATTAAACTAATTGCTATTTGATGAAGAAGAACAAATATGATCTAAAATACCTAAAATAGTTAATCAACCAATCTAAATTATTTTATAAAACTAGTATTAAATTATATAACAACATATAAAAATTACATACTTACATATTTTTAGAAAAATCAAATACATAAACCTAAAGAACTCAAGGCTTACAAGTTACTTGTTTGTGTCATTTGCTATGAATACTACACCATTATGGTTTAGGAAGGGAGGGTGTCGTGTCATATGGACATGTACGGCTTTGGTCGGGACCGTCCCAATAAAATCAAACACATGTTCAATGGGCTTAATTAGTCTCTTTTCAGCAACGTGTCCAAAACATATTGGCTGGACGGTACGTGAACTACTGTGCATTGTGGTTGCGTTTCAAAAATGATACACCACATTAACTTTCACAAATGGTGTCGTTTTCACAACTGTGTAAACTACAGTAAATAATTATTTAGAACTGAAATTTGGAAAATTTGAGGGTCAAGAACTGTATTGTCGTTGGCAACGAAGGAGAGGCAACACTCACCTCTGAGCTGTTCAAGACGTCACATGTCAGCACCAAAATTGGAAACTTAATTTAAAATTTTTATATAACTATTTCCTTCTTTTTTTCAACTAAAAATAATAATATAACTATTTCCATCATGCAATGCACGCCAATTTTTTCACATCAGTACCGGTAACCGGTATTATAGACCACAAAAAGAAAAGAAAAAAAAGTATTATATAAACCACAAGTAGTGACTTTTCATAAAGCTGTCAATTTTTTTCTCCAACGGTCCAATAAGTGATTTCGATGGAGAGTCAGAAAGTTAATATTTCTTTTACCATCTTAACTATTGGGCTTTAGTGGGCTCGCCCATATTCTATTCATTTTTTTGTTACCGTTCAAAAAGGTGGACCCACTATCTTTTTTCTGACAAGAAGAAAAAGAAAAAGACAGGTCAGAGTTTTGTCCTTTTACGAGAGCACCTCACCTCGGTACGTTCCAGAACCCTCTCCCGTGTCCGGTGTCCCCTCCATCATTTAACTTTATTTTATAACATAAACAAATTACAAACTATTCTATTAACCCAAATTATTATTGAATATTTGTACTCCATACCTACAACATTTACCATATTTGCACTTCATACATAATTTCCCCACAATTTTTTTCCCTCCATCATCCATATTTCCCCACAATATTTAGACATTTTCTTAATTACTACATTCTTCTTGTATTTTCAGCCAATTCACCCATTATTATTCAACATTCACCTAATCACCATGATAAATAATGCATAGACCTGCACTAGAGACCAGATGAGAAAAAAACAAAAAAAATAAGAAGAAATAACTAGTCATTTAAACAAGAATGTTTACAAGTATAGTACATATTGAAAAAATGATTAGAGTGAGTTTGCTCACACAACTAAACTGTGATTTCTTATCCATAAACAAATGGGTTTACAACGATCACATTATTTCGTTGATACTTGAATTTATTTTCTGTTTTTTTTGTGCACCATTTTCTGTTTTTTAAAGAAAAAAAGATATTGAAACAAATGTTTGTAGACGTTAGGGCATTTAATATTATTTCCTCTATAAATTCACTCTCTATCTACCACACACACACATACACTCTCCACCACACAAACAAGAACAAGAAAAAGCTCCCAACTTTAATCTTTCTAGAGAGAAAAAAAGAGGGACACTGAGAGAGAGAGATGGAAGGGAAAGAAGAAGATGTGAGAGTTGGAGCTAACAAGTTCCCCGAGAGACAACCCATCGGAACATCAGCTCAGTCCGACAAGGACTACAAAGAACCACCTCCTGCGCCACTGTTCGAACCCGGAGAGCTGAGCTCGTGGTCTTTCTGGAGAGCAGGAATCGCCGAGTTCATAGCTACTTTCCTCTTCCTTTACATCACTGTTTTGACAGTAATGGGAGTGAAGAGAGCGCCAAACATGTGTGCCTCTGTGGGAATCCAAGGCATTGCTTGGGCTTTTGGTGGCATGATCTTTGCCCTCGTCTACTGTACTGCTGGAATCTCTGGTAAATCTTTTTACTTTCCTGGAAAAAATATCAAAGCTTGGTGCTCTGTTTTAATTTTAGCGCTCTGTTTTAGTTTTAGTTCTCTGTTTTAGTGCTCTGTTTTAGTTTTAGTTTTAGTGCTGTTTAGTGCTCTGTTTTAGTTTTAGTAATCTGTTTTAGTTTTAGTGCTCTGTTTTAGTTTTAGTGCTGTTTAGTACTCTGTTTTAGTTGTAGTGCTCTGTTTTAGTTTTAGTGCTGTTTAGTGCTTTGTTTTAGTTTTAGTAATCTGTTTTAGTTTTAGTGCTCTGTTTTAGTTTTAGTTCTGTTTAGTGCTCTGTTTTAGTTTTAGTGCTGTTTAGTACTCTGTTTTAGTTTTAGTGCTCTGTTTTAGTTTAAAGTAGGCTTTGGAGTTTCTAGATCTTAGATACTGTAGTTTTCTCAGACAAAGCTCGTGTCTTTGTTGTTCCTTCAAAGTCAATGTATATGTGTTTTATTGTTTCAGGTGGACACATCAACCCTGCGGTTACGTTCGGTCTGTTCTTGGCAAGGAAGCTGTCTCTGACCAGAGCTGTCTTCTACATGATTATGCAATGTCTCGGAGCCATCTGTGGCGCCGGAGTCGTCAAGGGTTTCCAGCCAACGCCGTACCAGTCTCTCGGTGGCGGTGCCAACACCGTCGCTCCAGGCTACTCCAAGGGATCTGGTCTTGGTGCTGAAATTATCGGAACCTTTGTTCTTGTCTACACGGTCTTCTCAGCCACCGACGCTAAGAGAAGCGCCCGTGACTCACACGTCCCGGTAAGGACCCCACCCACTTTTCCGGTTTACTGAATCTCAAAAGTGTTCGTTTTGTTTGATTTATTGGTTTAGCTTTTGTCCTGGTTTGTGACATTTGATTGTTTAATTAATTTGTTATGTATATGGCAAAAAATTGTAGATTTTGGCACCACTCCCAATCGGGTTTGCAGTGTTCTTGGTACACTTGGCGACAATTCCGATAACCGGAACCGGAATCAACCCAGCTAGAAGTCTTGGAGCTGCCATTATCTACAACAAGGACCACTCCTGGGACGACCATGTGAGTATACTCTATAATAGGACCACTCAAACATTTATTCTTCATCCTTGTATAGTAATTGAGATTTTTGAATTCATTATTGCAGTGGATTTTCTGGGTTGGACCATTCATTGGAGCAGCTCTAGCAGCACTCTACCACCAGATTGTCATCAGAGCCATTCCTTTCAAAAGCAAGAGCTGAATGATGATGATGAACTTAGAGATCCAAGTTTTTTATTGTACTCTCGTGTAATTTTTTAGCTTTTGGTTTGCAGTGTTACTTCTTAGTTACTACTCTTATATTCAGCTTTTAAAAAGATATTTGGGATTCTGTGAATTTCTAATGAGCTTGTTCTGTTTAAGCATCATTGGTTTGATCTATCCTCTTATCTTTTTCATCGTTTGCATCTCAAAATAAATCTCGTTTTCTCTTCTTAAGCAGTTCAACTTTTTATTTAGACACCAAAAAAGAATCTTAAGTAGTTCAGCTTGTTCTACAATACCCTTAACGCCTCCCAAAGGTTTATTCCAGTAAGATTACAGAGTTTCGGATCTTGCATTTGGATCCGCAAAGAAATAAAACAAAGCCATTTCAGCTAACTTATTGCACTATATATCGATATAATATTTGTTCATATATTTAAGTATTAGATTAGATACTGATCCACGATCAAAGATCTCCTTAGGTCTAAGATATTATTCCACGTGAACCTTGGAAGTAGCTGAAACCATACGTCGTTTTAGAAAATTATCTAGCTTGCATTTGGATCCACAAACTGCCCAGAATAGGTATATAAGCATAGATCAGCTGCTGATAACCGCTAAAATCTTACACGAAATGCTATTATCCGAAAATAACATGTGTGGCGTGTCAGGGTGTATACAAATCCTCCTGTAAGATAAAGGGACAAAGAGAAAGAAAGAACTTACCAAAGTGGATTACCCACCGAATTGCTCCAGCCCTTTTAAGTTGGGCCGTTTGAGTTAAGGCAGACAACTGTATGTAGAAGAAACGATGTGATCTGTCATATGGATTGTACCAGTTAACTAATGTTTTTAAAAAAAATTTAAGGTACCAAATTGGGATTCATTAATTTAGTTTTTACATCTTTCAGAATGAACTTGGCAACTAGGTCTGACATTCGAGTTCCCAATCGGGTTTCGGTTTTGTCCAATCGGATCTCAGTTTTTCAAGGTTTATCAAAATCAGCCCCATTCGGATTATTTGAAAGTTCGGTTTGGGAACGGTTCGGGTCGGGGTTAGTAAATCTTTAAAGAACTGGTATAATCCGTTATACTTTCGGATTCGGGTCCCAATCGGTATTTTGGTTTAAAAATATCTGATTAGTACCTATTTTGTAACCAAAACATAAGTAAAATCGGTTATTCGAATTTAAAATACCTGATGTATAACTATTTTGTAACCAAAACATAAGTAAAATTGATTTAAAAATAAGAAAGGAATATCAAACATGATCATTCAAAATCAAATGAAAGGTAAACATAGTTATTAATAGAAACAAAACCAAATAAATGAAAGCACAAAACGAAAACCAAGTTCTTAAAAAATGAGAAACATTATTCCATAAAAACAAAACCTTAATCTAAAAATTTCAAGTTCCAACCATCAACCTTCATGTAATAGATAATTATTTTAGATATTTAGTAATATCTGAAAGAATTTTGGATATATATTAGGAATTAAGATCATATTCGGTACACGTTCTTATTAAAAATTTTGAATGTTTCGGGTTCTATCGGATATGCATTTAATTTCGGGTTCGGTTCGGATAATACCCATAACCCGAAATACCATAAAACAAGATCCATGCGGTATTTGAGTCGGGTTCGGATCGGTTCAAATTCATTTTTATCGGATCAGATTTGGTTCGGGTTTTCGGATTTGGTTTATTTGCCTAGCCCTATTGGCAACTATAAAATACATATATATTCGAGGAAAACTAAAACTCATCAATAATTTACTTTCAAACAAAAGACAACTAATTTTTATAAAAGTCCTTATATATTCGAAATACTGATCTTCAGAGATATAAGGGCATTTTTTTCAACCATGACACCGAATTTGTTGTTGAAATTAAACAAAAATTGATGTTATGGTGTCTATTTTTTTTGTCATCTCCAACCATAGCACCAATATAATATTATATATTATTTGACATTTTAACTTTTAATTTTTTTTATCTGTAATTTATAAATAATTATTTTATCACACTAAAATATTATGTTTGTTAAATTTTTGTAATGCCATTTTTATAAAGATTTTTACCTTTATATTTTCCGGTTTAACAATATTATACTTTTATGTATTTGTTTTATATACAGTATTAATTATATTCAAAATTACAAAATTATTAATTATGAAAAACACATAAAATAATATATTTATTTTAATAAAATGTTTATCTGTTAGTAATACAAGTTTAACTATATTATAAATATCTTATTTAAATCTTTGGTGAATTTACTAATATTACATAAATTTTTAATTATTCTATTAAATCTAATTTTACAATAATGTAGTATTATTAATTTTTAATTATTGATTAAAATTTATATAATTTTTTTGTACAAAAAATATAATAGTCATTTAGTGATTTCTTATTTGAAAAATAGAATATTTTTTTAATTATGAAATAATTAAAAAATACAATTATATAATATTTATGTGTAGTTACAACTTTGAACTAATTTTAGTAATAACTGAACTATATTATTAAGTTAAATATAATAAAGTATATATATTAAATATTTGGTGTGATGAATAATGTTATATCAAATTTGGTGTAGCACTATTTACTTTACACAATATGATGTCAGTTTTGATGCTCTATTGGAGATGAAAATACATCAAATTTAGTATTTTGGTGTTCCTTTCAACTTGACCTAAAAACATCATCGCTAATGAATCTCTCACCAAAATTATATAATTAGATAGAAAAAAAAAACCAAAATATAATTAGATAAAATTTTTTTTTGAATTCTTTCACATGAGACTCTAGAACTTGTAAGAGAATCTCTAACACAGGAAACATTTTCAGAAAAACCATTGAACCTTAATTTAAAACAAAGTAATCTTTCAACCAAAGATAATAGAAAAGAATACACATGTAGAATAAAAATGATAAGAGAATAACGAAGATATGCTAAACATACTCCCTATGTTTCAAAGTATTGCATGTTATAAAATTTTGTGAAATCTAAAATTTTCACATATATTAATAAAATATATATAAGTTCAACTATACATGCATTTGTTTTTCATGATTATAAGTCAACAAAAAAAAAACAGTAAATGCGATCAATTCTTTTGAAGTTTACAGTTCCACATTATTAGTTGAGAAATCATATCAAAAATGTAAAATTGTATTTTTTTTTTTCATCATGTAAAATTGTATTTAAAACATTTTTTTTGTAAAACATTTTTTTTTTGGAACAAACTGAGTAAATAGTAATCTTGAAGATTCAACTAAATATTGGATGCATTTTAGTCAACAATACATAACGAACAAAGTCATTTTCATTTAATAAATTTGGGATGTGGATGTGGTCCTAGAGTTAATGTTTATGGATATGACATTGTTATGAAAAATATAATAGTCTAATGTATTAATATTACGGCATTCTATATAGGTGAGCTGCTGAGCTACCCTATTATATGTGATCGATTACAATATTACTTGAAAAAAAGATTGAGAGTTGTTTTGGTTTACAAAAGATAGTTGATGGATAATTTTAGATGAGATCTCATCTCGTAGGTGATACAAAGGATAAGCACCATTGCATTTTAAACTAAGACGCCTAAAGATGTCGCCGGAGAAAAAAGGTCATCAGTTTCCTCCGATATCGGAATGTGGAGGAGGAGGAGGAGAGTATGGTTCGATCGCCGCGGATCTGGACGGGACTCTGCTTCTATCGAGAAGCTCGTTCCCTTACTTCATGCTTGTAGCTGTTGAAGCAGGAAGCCTCTTACGTGGCTTAATCCTACTTCTTTCTTTGCCTCTGGTGATCTTTTCATACTTACTCGTCTCAGAATCTCTAGGGATCCAAATCCTCATCTTCATCTCCTTTGCTGGTCTCAAAGTCCGCGACATAGAACTCGTCTCTCGCGCCGTTCTTCCACGGTAGATTAATCATATATCTCTATGTTTTTTTATCTCTGTATATATGAAATATAATATATAGTTTTCTTTATTAATTAAATTTGGATATATGTTAGGTTTTATGGGGCGGATGTGAGGAGAGACAGTTTTGAGGTGTTTGATAAGTGTAAGAGGAAAGTGGTGGTGACGGCTAATCCGACAGTGATGGTGGAAGCGTTTGCGAAAGATTATCTCGGAGCTGATAAAGTTCTTGGAACAGAGATTGCGGTGAGTCCTCGAACCAAAAGAGCCACCGGATTTGTGAAGAAGCCTGGTGTTCTTGTCGGTGATCTTAAGAGATTAGCCATTTTGAAAGAGTTTGGGGATGAATCACCAGATCTCGGCATCGGTGATCGAACTTCTGATCATGACTTCATGTCCATTTGCAAGGTATTTGCTTTATAACCTTTCCATTTAGCTTTACAATTTACACCCAATAAAAAATAATTTTACAATACTGAATACTGACTACATTAGTAATGTAGCACAAGTAAACTATATGGTTGAGAACTTAACCAAATGTTTTATTCTTCCATCCGTATAAGTATTTTTCATTAATTAGGTAATGTCGTTGACCTACTTTAACTTGTTGACTTGTTTAACTATCAAAATGTCAATGCGTTAATATTGTAACTAAAAATAAATAAAAAGTTAATTGTGTACTAATCAAGGTTCATAAATGTTTCAAAAAGAAAATGTACCTAAGCTATCACTTTTCATGTTGACCCTCAATCGTTTTTTTTTTTAATTTTCTTCTACACCAACCACGACCTACTAGTACCACCAACATTTTGCGCAGTCCATTTAATGAACCAATAATTCAAATATTATTAACACTCTTTTTGTAATATTCTCCTTTATATTCTTTTTGTAATAACGTATACGTATGAAGTAAAAGTAGAACATAAAGGAGTATATTAAAAACAATGTTAGTAATATTTGGAGTACAAAAAAATAAAAATAAATATTTGGAGTACAAAAAAAGTGATAGGTCTGAAATGAATAACATTTGAATTGTTTTTCAATAAATACATTTGTACGTTTATTCACAATTTTTGTATTAACTACTCCTATAACAGAAAGGTTACATGGTTCATGCGACCAAGTCAGCTACAACAATCCCTAAAGAACGACTAAAAAAACGCATAATCTTCCATGACGGCCGTTTAGTCCAACGTCCAACGCCGTTAAACGCCATCATCACATATCTTTGGCTTCCCTTCGGCTTCATCCTCTCCATCATACGTGTCTACTTCAACCTCCCTCTACCAAGACAAGTTGTCCGTTACAGTTACGAGATGCTTGGAATCCACTTAACAATTCGTGGCCACCATCCTCCGCCTCCTTCCCCCGGAACTCCAGGAAACCTATACGTTCTCAACCACCGTACTGCACTTGATCCAATCATCGTGGCCATTGCTCTCCGACGCAAGATCACATGCGTCACTTACAGTGTCTCTCGTCTCTCCTTAATGCTTTCTCCTATTCCTGCTGTCGCACTCACACGGGACCGTGCTGCTGACGCTGCCCGCATGAGAAAACTCCTTGAGAAAGGTACGTATACGTATAATGCATGCAGATTGATCCTACAAAGTTAGAGGCTATAAAATTTATTAATAAATTTAATAATTTTTTTAAAACAATTTGGAGACTATGTATAAATTAGTAGAAAATTTAATAAAAATGAACATTTTAACAATTTTGAGAATTATATTTGTATAAATTATCCATAAACCAATGTTTCACTTGCTATATATATCCTTGACCGGCCTATGCATGCATGCATACATATTCTAATGACAATATTCAGAGTTTTTGAGTCGATACAATTGCTTAAGGACGTTTTTGATATGTGTTTGGTGTGTATAACAGGTGACTTAGTGATATGTCCGGAAGGAACGACGTGTAGAGAAGAATATCTACTGAGATTCAGCGCACTGTTTGCTGAGCTAAGCGACAGGATAGTACCGGTGGCGATGAACTGTAAACAAGGAATGTTTTACGGGACGACGGTGAGGGGTGTGAAGTTCTGGGATCCTTACTTTTTCTTTATGAACCCAAGACCGAGCTACGAGGTTACTTTCTTGGATCGCTTGCCTGAAGAAATGACAGTGAAAGGTGGCGGGAAGACGTCTTTTGAAGTGGCTAATTACGTGCAGAAAGTTATAGGGGATGCATTGGGATTCGAATGCACGGAACTTACTCGCAAGGATAAGTATCTTTTGCTGGGAGGTAACGACGGGAAGGTGGAGTCTATCAACAAGAAGTGAACATAACGAATGTTAAAATGTTGTCTGATCAGTGGAGGAGCTATTGATATAATTCTGGTGGAAAAAGGATAGGTTTTTGATTGAACATGTATTGATATAACTATGGTGGAGAAAGGATAGGATTTTGATTGAACATGAATTGCTATAATTGTACTTGCATATATATCCCCTATAAAGCTATATATTTTGTATACCAAAGTGTTTTAATTTTAAGAGAAGTGTTGTAATCAGAGGTTTATAATAGGGATGAGCATTTAGGTCGTCGGATCGGATTCAAGTCGGTTCTTTTCGGGTTCATGCATGTCTTTCAAGTCTTATACACTTATATCCAGTACTTGAAATTTTTTGGTTCATGTCGATTACTTTCGAATCTGGATCAATTCGAATCTATAACTAAAATACAAAACAATGTAATTTCCGGGTCTATAGAAGACCGGGTTCGTATATTTAAAACCAGAAAATATTTAAAGTACACAAACTTCATCAAAATTTAATCAAAATCCACTATCCATTATATTTATCTACAACTTTGAAAAATAACCGAAATAGATTTTTACTTGTTAAAATTAATTTTTTTTAAACTCCATTCAAAATTTTATATTATTTGGAAATATTTTAAAAATAATAATAAATATTGCAAACAATAAATAGTACAACTAAATCATAAATTAAAATATGTAAAATAGAACACACGAGTCAGTCTTGGATTGATGTTTTTGGTCGGGTATAAATTGGTTCTTATCGTATCGTATTTATTGGCATTTATTTTGGGTTGGTTCTTTTCGGTATTCGTTTTTTTATATTGATTTTTTTTTTGATTTAGTCAGGTACTTATAAATTTTTGGTTTGGGTTAGACAGTTTTGAATTGGTATCCGTTTGGGTTTTCTGTCGGGTAAAATGTGAGGCCTAGTTTATAACTTAGTAATGGCATAATTACATTAGGTTTGGGCATTCGGGTCCCCAATCGGGTTCGGTTTTGTCCAATCAGGTTTCGGTTTTTTGGGTTTATAAAAATTAGCCCCATTTGGATTATTTGAAAGTTCGGTTCGGGATCGGTTCGGGTTATAACCCGTTATACTTTCGGATTCGGGTCCCAGTCGGTACTTTGGTTAAAAAAATATCTCATTTGTACTATTTTGTAACCAAAATATAAGTAAAATTGACTTAAAAATAAGAAATGAGCATCAAACGTGATCATTCAGAATGAAATGAAAGGTTAACATAGTTATTAATAAAAATAAAACTAAATAAATGAAAACATAAAACGAAAACCAAGTTCTTAAAAATTGAGAAACATTATTGAATAAAAACAAAAACTTAATCTAAAAATTTCGGGTTTCAACCGCCACTTTCAACCATCAACTTCATGTAATAGATAATTATTTTAGATGTTTAGTAATATTTTAAACTATTTTGGATATATATTAGGAATTAATATTATATTCGATACACGTTCTTATTAAAAAATTTGAATGTTTCAGATTCTATTGGATATCCATTTAATTTCGGGTTTGGTTCGGATAATACCTATAATCCAAAATACTATAAAAAAGATCCATTCGGTATTAAAATTGATTTGGATCGGTTCAGATTCATTTTTATCCGATCGGATTCGGTTCGGGTTTTCGGGTTCGGTTGATTTGCCCATCCTAATTACATACGATAAGTAAATTAAGTTAGAAGAAAAAAAATGTTGGGCCAAATATCATATAAAATAGGTCGTCATATTAGATGCAGCAGAAGCATAAATAATAAAACGGTAGGCCCAAATAAAACCCAAGTGGCTACGTGTAAGAATAAGTTCCTCGACAACCTTACCCTTTATGTATTCTGTCTGTTTCTGAAGGTGTGAGTGAGGTCATCTTCGGCGGTAACGGCACAGATATTTTCCACCCGAAATTCCAGTAATAACCCTGTTTTGTACCAATCAGTATCGGGTATACAGTATCTTTCGTTGCAACATGCGGGGGTATATTCGTATTAAGGGAGTAACATACAGAGGGGTTCGAACGAGAAGAAGATGACGTGCCACGTGTCACTTTATAGACCCTCCTTTGCTCTCCTTCCCCATATGGCCACTAGGGAAGTTCCCGCTTCGTCACTCGAATAAAGTCCCTCTCTCTCTCTCTCTCTCTTTGGGTTTTATCCTCAGATATTTTTCGAAAAACCTCTCCTCTACTCTTCTTCTTCTTAGTTAACTCCGCTACCCTTCCATGGAAGAAGAAGCAGTTTGAGAATTAATCTCACTTCTTACTTCTTTCTTTTGAGTTTCATTTTATTTGTTTTGGTCTCTGAGCAATGGCTATCGGTGGCTTGATTTCAAACAGGAACTTTGGTTCCTTCATCGGTTCAGGTCTCTCTCTCTCTCTCTCCTTCTTCTCATTGGTTTAGCATGAATTTGCATTTGTAATATTTAACCAATCGTTTAGTGGTAATGATAAATCTATTAGGATTGTTTACAGTCACTTACAAAGTCAACATAATAACCAACATAATAACGAATCGTTTTAGTGTTATGATAAATCTTTTAAGGTTTATCAGATTATGCTTTCAAAGTTTTCTTGTTAATGAGTACTACTACTAGATAGCTATTATCATCAATTAGGCTATGTGCATTGCGTTGGTTTATAATACAAAAGTGAAGACTTTTTAATGTTGCTAATGCTTATTAGGCAATGGTGTTCAGAATGAAAGAGGTTTATATATTTCCAACAGAGTCATCCCCCGCACTGGATTAATATCAAATGGTATTGTCACATTCATACTTTGATGCCTTCTCGTTTGCTTTATTATAATCTTTTGTGCTAAGGAATTTTTATTTATTGTAGCATTGTGCCGTAATCACCAACCAAGGAAGGTTTTATCTCTGCAAGCTAGTTTACAGCATGACCTTAGAGGAGGCATGGCAAGTTTTGGATGTTTCCTTCAACCAGGGAACTTGGAGCATCATAGAATTAGGTTTAAGAACTCATCTCGTGCCTACTACAAATCATCAGAGGATTCAGATATTACAGAAGAAGTTGTAGTCGACTCACTTTCATCAGCTGATGGGTCTGCTGAAGCTATTTTAGCTCAAGGAAATCTAAAGAACGCATCCCCGTGGTGGCAGCAGTTTCCTAGGCGCTGGGTCATCGTCCTCTTATGCTTTGCTTCTTTCCTTCTTTGCAATATGGACCGTGTAAGTGTCTATATGCTTCTTATTTCTGTACATATTTTGAACTATCTGCTTTGTTTACTCAATGATATATGCTTGTGGCAGGTGAACATGAGCATTGCTATTCTTCCCATGTCTCAACAATATAACTGGAACAGTGCTACTGTTGGCTTGATTCAGTCCTCTTTCTTCTGGGGCTATTTACTTACTCAGGTCTTTCTCAAACACACTCTCTCTCTAGTATGTCATATTCTTACACAACTCAAAAGAGAGTGATTTTATTCAACCTTTAGTCTGAACCATTCTCATCCTCTCTTGACTATAGATTCTTGGAGGTATCTGGGCAGATAAGTTTGGCGGGAAAGTGGTTTTAGGTTTTGGTGTTGTCTGGTGGTCCATTGCCACTGTTATGACACCTATTGCTGCTAAACTCGGTCTCCCCTTTCTACTTGTCGTGAGGGCCTTCATGGGCATTGGCGAGGTTAGGCCTCTTCTGTTTCTCTTCCTATAGTTCGCTCAGACCTGTATCTCACTGCTAGTGTGCTTTTGATGCTAGGGTGTTGCTATGCCTGCTATGAACAACATGCTTTCTAAATGGATCCCTGTCTCAGAGAGAAGCAGATCCCTTGCCCTTGTCTACAGTGGCATGTATCTCGGTTCTGTAACAGGACTTGGATTCTCTCCTATGCTAATCCAAAAGTTCGGATGGCCATCAGTTTTCTATTCGTTTGGCTCCCTTGGAAGTATATGGTTTCTGCTTTGGCTCAAATATGTATGAACACTTCTTCTCCATGACATAGAGCAAAAAGATTTGGATATCTACAAAACCTCTAAACACTTTGTTATTGTTTCCTCTCAGGCATATAGCTCTCCCAAGGATGACCCTGAGCTAAGTGAAGAAGAAAAGAAGATCATACTTGGAGGTAGCAAACCAAGGGAACCTGTTACAGTCATTCCATGGAAGCTGATTCTGTCTAAACCCCCTGTCTGGGCTCTCATCATTTCCCACTTTTGTCATAATTGGGGAACATTCATACTATTGACATGGATGCCCACATATTACAACCAGGCATGTAGTCCAACTTCCCTATGTTTGAATAGCTTTTACAAACAAATAAAAAGTTATGTTTCTCTTTTGAATCTTATTTTCCAGGTCTTGAAGTTCAACCTCACTGAGTCAGGGCTCCTATGCGTGTTACCATGGTTCACCATGGCTGTAATGGCTAATATTGGAGGTTGGATTGCTGATACTCTCGTGAGCAGAGGTCTTTCAATTACATCCGTTAGGAAGGCAAGATATACATTATTGCATTTTTCTGATCAATACACAACACTTTGTGCTGATGCTTTCAATCAATAAACTCTTCAGATCATGCAATCAATTGGTTTTCTGGGTCCAGCCTTCTTCCTGACTCAGCTGAGCCGTGTCAAAACTCCAGCAATGGCTGTTCTTTGCATGGCATGCAGTCAGGTATGAAATGACATCCTAATAGTATTCAAAAGAGCCAAGTATTAAAGATATGATGCCATTTTTAGACTAGTACAGCTGCCGACACTAAAGATTATATTCTTGTAAGAGGACAACTATAAATTAAACATAACATAAATGCAATGTCATGTCTGACACATGTCTCACTTAGAACCAATAAAAAATCGATGTACAGCTCTGACATAAAGACTTATGTTGTCCCCAACAGGGCGCTGATGCATTCTCTCAGTCGGGTCTCTACTCTAATCATCAAGACATTGGCCCACGCTACGCTGTAAGACAACATCAAGTTTCTACTTTTGTCACCAAACACCTTTAAAACTTGAAAATGATATATGTTTATTGCAATAAGTAACTATGTCGACGTGGATCCTTTCCAGGGTGTACTCTTAGGACTTTCAAACACAGCAGGAGTCCTCGCTGGTGTCTTTGGCACTGCAGCCACTGGCTACATCCTCCAACGAGGTAACTCTATATTCACATTCTTCCCAATCACATAGATTACTTGAGCTCTTGCTTCTTCCCAAGCAGATATCTTGCTTCTTTAAATTCTGGAGCTCTTAATTTCTAGTTAAGCCCTATGATTAACTTGCATTTTTGACCTGAATGTATAGGTTCATGGGACGATGTGTTCAAAGTAGCAGTTGGATTGTATTTAGTTGGAACTCTGGTCTGGAACTTGTTCGCAACCGGAGAGAAAGTTCTCGACTAGCTGCAGATCCGAACAAAGCAGCCTAGTTAATGTAGTGAACTGGTGCCAGAAATGCTTTATATCTGTTTTTTTCTCTGCTTTAATTTTGATCTGATAGTTAGATCAAAATGGTAAATTGTTCGCTGCTCTGTTTCATAAAGTATAACAAGTTAAAAGTGAATTTTTAAATTTTTTATTTTTTGGGACTCTTTTAAAAGCTTACAATATGGTGGGAGGAGAACAAAACAACAGTCAAAATGCAAAAGCTTTTACAACAGAGAAAAAACAAAAACAAACGAAAGTAGTATATCACCTTACAAATTTCATATCACACACAACCAAACCAATTTCTTTGACTATTACCCACCCTTCACAATCACAAAACCCCAAACGTAAAATGTATGTATTTAGTAAAATATATAATATTAAAATATTATTATTAACCAGAATAGCTGTATGACGCGACGTCTACACCGCAACCGCCACAGCCGCATTAACAGAGACGCCTTCACCAATAACGCCGTTGCATTTCCCGTTAAGCCCCGTAACGACGTCGTTTCTCTCCTTGCTAACGAGACTCTTCATGATCCCATCCAAATCCCTCTTGTGCACGTTCACCACAAGCCCGTTCTTCATGAACAACGTCAACGACATCTTCTGCTCCACCTTATGCCCCTCCGCAACCGTCAATCTGTGCCGGAGCAACACCGCCGCGGCGATCGTTTTCATCTGCAGGTACGCTAGATCTTTCCCGAGGCATATCCTCGGTCCGGCGTTGAAAGCCACGAATCTGTACTGATCGTGATTCACGAACTTCCCGTCGTCCGGCGAGATCCACCTCTCCGGCTTGAACTCGAGGCAATCCTCTCCCCACGTCGTCTTCATCCTCCCCGCCGCGTAGATCGAGTAAGTCACCGACGATCCCGCCGGTACGAAGGTTCCGTCGGGGAGAACATCGTCGTTCACGACGTGCTTCGAGTCCTCCGGCACCGACGGGTAGAGCCTCAGCGTCTCCGAGAGCGCCGCCTTCAGGTAAACCAATCGATCGACCTCGTCGAATCCTAACGGCTCATCCGTCCACGACGATAAGTCGCTTCCACGTGTCTCCATCAGGACGGAGCATATCTCGCGGACGATCTTATCCTCAACCGTCGGATGAGTCATCACGAGCCAGAAGAACCAGCTCAGCGCTACTGATGACGTGTCACGTCCAGCTAATATGAAATTAAGCGCCACGTGGCGGAGGAAGCCCTCGCTGTATGACTGCCCTTTCTGATCTTTCTTCTTCATGAAACGGGAGAGGAGGTCGTCGTGTCCCTGGACCCCACTCTCTTGCTGACTCAGCAGCTCTTGCTTACGTGTATTAATGACGGCGTCTAAATAACCATCGATCTCTACCAAGCTCCGGTTTAAGCTGACTTCTAAACCGAGCCCAAGCCATTTTTTGATCCTCCACAGAAACTCTGGTAGAATAAACCGCTGGAGAGAAGCTTCGGTGGCTCGGTCGAAAGCCGAGGCGAAGCCGTTCTCGGGAAGTCCCGGCGCACAGGTTCGAGTGTCCTTCCCGAAAGCTAAACCGCAAATGTTGTCGAATGTGAGACGTAGTACCAAGTCTTGGAGGTCAACCGGTTCGCATGTGTTCTGAGCCGTTTCGAGAATTGGACAGAACCGGAGTTTGATTCCCCGGTTTACCCACCTACCCATGGCTTGTCTCAGCGTCCTGCGTCATACAAAGCCAATTTTTAGGATTTAGCCGACAATTAATAATATACCGAACCAAATCCACTAACTAAACCGGTTAAAATTGAATTAAGAAAAAAATGGTATGTTTTATCAAATTATTCATTACGTGTACATGCATGGATTCTGCGATATAATTAATTAATCTCCGGTTAAGAATCTACCTGGTGGTGAATTCAAGGGCGGCGGTTTTGCGCTGGAAGAGCCAGGTGTCGCCGTCGGTGTTGAAGATGCCTTGGCCGAGGAAGTCATGGAAAACGGCTTGCCACGTAGGACCTTTAGGGTAGTTATCGAAGCGGGTCTTGAGCATGTGTTCAATGTTCTTGGGGTCGGACGTGACCGTCACGAGACCTTGCTTCTTCGCCAAGAAAGGCACTGCGCAGATACATGTCTGATACGTCCCGCCACACGCGCGGAGGTTCTCAGTGATCCAGTCGTGCATACGGTCACGCTGTTGGATCAGACCCGGGAGACTCCCCAATATCGGCCAGACACGTGGACCCTTTAGCCACCGTGAGATCCGCTTAAACCAAAGCCAGTAAGCTGCGACAATAGCTACAAGCAGCATCGTGTTGGATACATCCATATTCTCTCTTGAAATAGCTTGTAACTGAAGATTGTGATTGAATGATACAGAAATGGTTGTTTTAGTTTCCTGGAAAATAATTATCCCTTATCAGGAAACTTAAGGAGTATGAATGGTGTTTCCAAAACTGGTAGTATAAAAGGATATGGTTTTCTTGGGAAATTTATAGAGGGAGAGAGATGGCATTAAGAAGAAGAAAACAAGTGGAGGAAAAGACTCTTACTGCTAGCCATTAGAAGCAGCAACCCTCATTAATGAGACTGTTGAGAGAGTGTATGCTAATTGAATGGGATTTGGAAATTTAGCCAAGTCTTGAGAAAAAACTCGTTTTGGTTAATTGTTTTGGAGATCAACTAAAGACTGTTCAGATTATGAAGTCAAGGAAATGGTAAAAGTTTGAGAGTATATAACAAGAGAGGAGGGCAAGGGGATGAAGAGAAGTCTCATTCAATGATGATCCATTAAATGACCCTAAATTATTTATACATACATACATTATATGTATGTAATTTACAGCTATATTATAATATTATAGTATATTGTGTATGTGTCTCTGTGTGCTAAGATTAAATGAGATTAGTTGAGAACCTAAGGCACAGAAAAATATGGATGAGAATAAGAACAAGTAGGAGAAAGAACGAGAATCTTTTGATCTATTTTAATAATTCACATTTAATAAGTGTAAGAAGAGCTCAACACATGTATGATTAGGTAATGACATTAGGGTTTGCATGATATAATTAATGTATATGGTTACACATCGTTTACTAATACACATTTTAGGTCTGACTTTGTAAGTGACCGTAAACCGATGATCATGTTTTATTGAAAACTGAGAATTCATTTTACCCTTTAATTAATTTGATTTTAGTTTAGGTTATTACTCGATAAAAGAAGGCGTGATTATTAATCTTCTCAGTTTGGTTCATCAGCTTTGTTTTATTTTTTCTGGGATTTGGTAAGCAACTCGTGACTCTTTTGATCTAATTTGCTTCTTCTTTTTTTTAAAAAAAATTGCATGGTAAAGGAAGTTTAAAGAGTGAATTGATTAGTCCCACAAGAAAGAAATACAGTTTCTTGTGCATTTTGCTTATAGCCTGCCCGATTTCTTTTCTTACTTTTACTATCTTTTTCTAAGCTGTTTTAACAATATTCCTTTCTAACACCCCCAACAAAATTGTTGAAATTCGAATATTAACATAAACTATGTGCAGTAGACCAAAAAAAACATGATGAATTACGTGCATGCACAAATCTCAAGTAGGATTAGATGTCATGGCATTCATGAGATGTGAAAGTCAAATGGAGCTGACTTGTGTACTCTGCAGATCATAAATACATAAAATAATGTATATCAGTAGGTGACATATGCTTTACTAATATATATACAGATTAAGAAAATAGGCAAACCTAAACCATCACAAACTCACACATATAGCAATAGCGTCATCAAATATAAGTATATAACTCTGTAAAGGGGCTGAACGCGAAAACCTTGTGATATGCATCCTCTTTTCACCTATTCTTGGTTTATAAACGATATAAATGTACGTTTTTAAACTCAGAACTGTCACTATAGATTTATTTAACATTAAGTTGTACATCTTATATTCGATATGCATTTTTATAAGATGTATTTTTTGTTCTAAATCTTCTAGACTGCATATTGCAATAAACTACATTTGATTTTTTCTTATATTGCAGCAAATTGACTCTCTTTTTTTTGGGCAACTCACATTGACTCATAAATAGCGAAAAGTGGACATGTGTGTAAGTGTAACAAAATGGAACAACTGTAAATGTCAGACAAGGAGTAGATGGCCTGCCAACTTCAATATGCAAAATGCATTTATAACTCAGCGTTGACTCTCTTCTTTTCTCAGTGAGACAACTCAAATGAGGCGAAAATTAGACATCTATGCCAATAATTCCTTTATACTATTGTACATTATATACACATGATGAAATCATGATTATGCATTTAATTTTCGGTACTAATTGCGTCCCAACCTATTTTTTCAAAAGCATTTACTATCGTAGTTGACTTATTTCTTAAGACAAATTTACAAAACCGAAATAGAAGTCACTGAAGAATACTGCGGGAAGGTGGTTTACAATAC